TATGTACAACAATCAACAAACTATTTATCAACACTTAGTTTTCATTCAAAAACTTAATTTTCTAAAAACATTTTTATTTGTGTTTTATTTCATCATTTATTACATAAAACAATAGTATATTAATGAATGATAATTATTGACAGTCTAATAGAAATTCAGGTTTCTAGTCTATTATAGTTTACATTTAAATCATTAAAGAATATTAATGTTAAATACAATTTTATTTGTAAATTTTTTAATACAGTATTTAACATCTTTTATTTACTATCAATAATCAATCAAAATGTTTATTAAAATAAAATGGAAATAATGTAATAGAAAATCTTATTATTTTATCTATAAATTATTATATTGAAATTAATGTCACAAATAAAATAACATTTAAACTAAAACTAAATATAAATTTAATCAAAATAATTTATTTGTGTTTATTTAGAAAATTGTATAAGTAATATACAAATATTATATTTGAAATATAACATAAACATGTTTGATTAAATGTAAAAATAAGTTTTTTACTATTTTTAAATGTCAAACCTCTAGAATCAGATTCAAGATACAATCAATATCATCAATAAAAGCATAATCAAGCAGCTTATAGTAATTAATTTAATATTTTCTACAGTTATATTAAGATATATTCAAGCTAAGGTTATATAAAATGAAAATAGCAGTATTAATTTTATATTGTTTTCATATGTCTCATTCAATGTAAGTATTTTATAATTATAATTTTTCTTATAAAATATTATATTATATTTACGAACACTGACATTATTTACAACCTAAATGAATGACCCTGTATGGAAATAAAATTAATAATTGTTATTGATAATGATTTTGCCTCAATAAATCAATTCACCTACTTATTTCACTTAATCCCTTAAATAAAATGTTTTAAGTATTACTAATATGAATAATATTCAATTTAAACAAATAAGTTTTTATAATTAAAAACATGACAGTTTGTATAAAATGATTCATTTTAGAAAAATATTTAAAACATTCAATTTATTTAAGAAATTGATTGAAACGAGATAGGTGAGTTCATTTTTTAAAGCATAAATAGTGATGAATATGAATGATTACTAAAATTATTTTTTATACCGGGCTTTATAGTCCAAGACAATTTTTGAAGTTTTTATTTATACTTCAAGACACTATAATTACAGTATATTATATATACTTGAATTATGATATAATTTATAGTCATTTATTTAGTGAAATCATATCAAATGATTCAGAGTATTGGACTTTATTTGATAGCAGTGAGTACAACAAGAATGTCAAGCCTAACAGTCAAGGTACTTTTGGTTTTATTATCAATTACAATCAATATGTTTAAAATATAGAATTAATGCCATGTATATGGTATTTAAACCATGATAGTTTTTGAAAATAAAATATTCATAATTTTAACTAAATACCAGGACCAGTTATAGTGAATGTGTCACTCTTTGTTATGGATATTTACGGACTATCGGATATTGACATGGTAATCCTGTTAATGTCACTAATTATGCCAATATTAATATAATAAATTAAATTAAAAACTTATTTTAAGGATTACACGATAGACTTGTATTTGAGGCAGTGGTGGACTGATAGTCGTTTGCAATTCAATGGCACCGTTAAGACCATAAACTTAGGACCAGATTATATCAAGAAGATCTGGATTCCCGACACTTTTATAGCGAACAGTCGCCAGATAACACACCATAACTCAGCAGGGTCTAACCCAAACACTGTTCTCTCGATTACCAGCGATGGACTTCTATTCTATAGCACCCGGTTAGGTCTCAATATATCTATATTTTTAAAATACACTAAAATTTAATTAATAGTTTAATAATCGTGGCCAATTGTCCTATGGATTTGAGCTACTTTCCAATGGACAGGCAGTTGTGTCAGCTTAAATTTGAGAGTTACAGCTATAATAATGAACAGATCCAGTACAAATGGCTGAACAAATGGCTGGACGGACCTTCATTAGCATCCCGGATATCACTTTATAATTTTCGTATTGAAAGGGATTATAAAGTGACACACATTGAGAATATCAATACAGGTTAGTCTATTATAGATGGAGACAATTATAATACTTTTAAATGAGAGTTTAATTTTAATATAATATTTTATTTTATTTTATTAATAATATAGTAATTGTGTTTCAATTTTCAGACTCGTTTTCAATTTTAACCTATGGCTTTGTATTGAAGCGTTCACTTGGCTTTTACCTGAATCAGGTGTATATCCCGGCCTTCATGGTTGTGGTTATATCGTGGTTACCCTTCTGGATGGACAAACGGGATACACAGGCCAGGGTTGGACTCGGGATCACCACTGTTTTGGCCATCATTACGCTCGTAACCAACACTAACGCAACTCTGCCTAAGATATCGTATATGAAGTCAATTGATATCTATTTGGGCTTTTGTTATGCAATGGTTTTCTCATCACTTGTTGAGTATACAGTTGTCGGCTATTTTCAGATCAGTTGCTGTAACAAAGTGTCTGATGTTGTGGTAAGTAATGGCAAAACCAGAGGTAACAGTCCGTTGATTGGTATCAGTCCGTGGAGTCGAATAGACATCCACTCGCGATGGATATTCCCATTCATTGCCATTGT